ATATTATATATATATATATATATATATATATATATATATATATATATATATATATATATATATATATATATATATATATATATATATATATATATATATATATATATATATATATATATATATATATATATATATATATATATATATATATATATATATATATATATATATATATATATATATATATATATATATATATATATATATATATATATATATATATATATATATATATATATATATATATATATATATATATATATATATATATATATATATATATATATATATATATATATATATATATATATATATATATATATATATATATATATATATATATATATATATATATATATATATATATATATATATATATATATATATATATATATATATATATATATATATATATATATATATATATATATATATATATATATATATATATATATATATATATATATATATATATATATATATATATATATATATATATATATATATATATATATATATATATATATATATATATATATAGGATGAACCATTTATATGGAGACACCTTAATAAACATATTGAGAATTTCACAAGAAAAGCAATAGTGTGCTTGTTTTTAAACTTAACTTTATTTTTTCATGAGTTATATACAACCCTCCTCACATATACTAATGTGCCACAAACAGGACGTTAATACCACCAACCATTCCCATTTTATTAAGGTGTATCCATATAAATGGCCCACCCTGTATATCGCCACAGTGTGAAAAAAAATATCATTCATTCCTTTTCCTTCGGTCCCTTTATTCATCAGGGGTCACCATAGCGAAATGAACCGCCAACGTGTCCAGCATTATACAGTGGATGTCCTTTCAGCTGCAACCCTGTAATGGGAAACACCCATACACACTCATACACTACGACCAGTTTAGTCCATCAGTTCCCCTAAAGAGCATGTGTTTGGACTGTAACCGGAGCACCCGGAGGAAACCCACGCCAACACGGGGAGAACATGCAAACTCCACACACAAACACCAACTGACCCAGCCGGGACTCGAACTCGCGACCTTCTTGCTGTGGGACGATAGTGCTAACTACTGAGCTACAGTGCTGCCTATACTTTATAATAATGCATATTTAACTTTATATATCGCCACAATGTGAAATAAATACAATATAATAATAAGTATAATTTATCATCCCTTCTAATTTTGGGGTGAAAAATGACTTGGAAATGCATATACAAACAAATGGAAATGCACATACAGTTGAAGTCAGAATTATTCGCCCGCCTGTTTATTTTTTCCCCCAATTTCTGTCTAACGGAGATGTTTTCAGCACATTTCTAATCATAATAGTGTTAATAACTCATCTCTAATAACTGATTTATTTTCTCTTTGTCATGATGACAGTAAATAATATTAGACTAGATATTCTTCAAGACACTTCTATACAGCTTAAAGTGACATTTAAAGGCTTCACTAGGGTAATTAGGGTAACTAGGCAGGTTAGGGTAATTAGGCAAGTTATTGTATAATGATGGTTTGTTCTGTAGACTATAGGTAAATATATAGCTTAAAGGGAATAATAATATTGAGCTTAAAATGGTGTTTAAAAAATTTAAAACTGCTTTTATTCTATCTGAAATAAAACAAATCAGACTTTCTCCAGAAGAACAAATATTATCCGACATACTGTGAACATTTCCTCAATCTGTTCAACATCATTTGGGAAATATTTAAAAAAGAAAAACAAATTCAAAGGGGGGGAATAATTCTGGCTGCAACTGTATTTATTTTAGGAATATTACAGAGGCGGTTTTAGATTTTGCTTATTTTACAACAGAAATGGTTCAGTCTAAAGTTTTGCTCGTAGTTTGCTAACAGTAAACGGGGTGTACAATAAGTGTTTATTACAGTATTTGTGTAAATCACGGGCAGTTTGTGTCCTGAACACATTTAATCAGAGTCTCGGACAGACGGACTGGACTGACCTCTGACCTTCTGTGCTGTTTGACCTCAGCATTGATCTGGACTTTACTGCCCAGATGAGCAGATTTAACAGCAGAGGTTTGCATTGTGTGTTCATTTCACTGCTTTTAATAAACATTAAGAAGAACATGTTTAATTTTGCACATTTACAATAGTTCAGTCATGATATATTTAGACACTTCACAATAAAGTTTCATTCGTTGATGTTAATTAGGGTTTGAGCATCGATTATGTGTGTATCTGCAATAGTCACATTGCAGGATGAGATTATTCATTAACGATTAAAAGATAAAGAGTTTTTTTTATTATTATTTATACAGTGATGACCATGTTTTTCCCAGAGATGGGTTGTGGCTGGAAGGGCATCCGCTGCGTAAAAACCTGCTGGATAAGTTGGCGGTTCATTCCGCTGTGGCGACCCCGGATTAATAAAGGGACTAAGTCTACAAGAAAATAAATGAATAAGGGAATGATGACCATGTTTTTTACATTTGATTGTGCTTGAATACTGTTAGACTCCCCAGAAAACCACACAGCTCTGTTTATTTATTTATTTTGCTTGTAATTGAGCGTAATTTATGCAGATTCCCTGCACAGAAAAAGACTTGATCGCCCCAGCCCATTTAAATGAATAAAATCTTTCCAAATTGAGATATTCTAAATCATGTGGTGGATTTATCTTCATCTTGTGATATATGACGGCAAAACAAAATATCACAATATTTAATGTTTTAATGAATGCATTAATAGACATGAAATAATAATGAACAATGCATTATTATCATTATTAATCATGGTTCAACATTTGCTAAAGCATTAGTAAAATCCAAGGTTGTGCTTGTTAAAGGGTTAGTTCACCCAAAATTGAACATGTCCTGTTAATTTACTTAATAACAGGTCATCTAAGATATAGGTGACTTTTTTCCCTTCAGTCAAACATTAAAGCAGATTTTGAGCTGGATCTGTGGTGTTTGGGGATTATAATTGCAGTGTATAGTGACAGGTTTTTTAGATAAAATATACAAACCAGTCCAAATCAATAGCCATGGCTCCTGATGTAAAGGGAAACCATCACTTTATTTAATTTTTTATATTCTATTATAAATACAAATGGGGACCAGGCGTTTTTTTGTGTTGAAAATGCAGAAATGGCCTGATACTGCACTGTATATATTATATTTTATTA